GGGTGGGGGGGGGCTAAGGAGAGAGAAGGCTGAGAGCTACCTATTTAGAGCCATCACCTGACATTGGACCTAGCCCAGAATAGACTCTGTCCTAAAGACCCTTTGGGGAAGGGAGAACAGTGAGGGCCGCATTCCTGGGCCTCTGGTCCCCGGGGCCGATGGAGAGCCAGGTAGTTGGCGATTGGATTAAGGGGCGATGGATGGACTTTGGTGGCAGGTGGTGGTGGAGGGGAGGCTTTTGCCTTTGTCCAGAGGCCTTTGCATGGGAGAGGGAAGGGACCTGGAGCATGGGGGCCAGGTGATTGGGTCTGACCAAGCCAAATGCACCCTGAGTCAATGGGGCAACTTTTCTTCTAGGCCATGGCCAAATAGGAAAAGCCAGTGCTTTTTGAGCAGCCTCAGGGCTGTGGTTTGGAAAGCAGAGAGAAGAGAGGATGAAAGAGAGGCTATTGAGTTTGTGCATCTGGTTCTGGACCTTTAGATGGTTGACAATTTTCTCCTCCTTCCCCAGCTGCCCCAGGAGGCTGGCCTGGAGCCAGGTCTAGGAGGAAGACTGCTCCTTACCATTCAGGAGGCCTTGGCTTGCCTCTGCCCTCAGGAGCTTACCCAAAACCATCAGGGATGAACACAAAGGAGATTATGCAGGGTCTGGGGGTTAGGATGCAGGCAGGAAAGAGCGGGCCCCTCCCTGGAACCCCGATGGAGGACTATCATGTACTGAAAGCCTGCTGTGTGCCAGGGACTGTCTAACTTTTTGATACAGAGTGTGAGGTCAGTATTATTACACCCGTTTTATAGATGAGGGAATTGAGGCTCATGAGATTAAGAAATCTGTTAAGAAATCTGTCAAATGTCACAGAAATTGTAAGTGGCAGAGTAGACCACCATGAATCAGAAAGCAGGGACTCAGGCCCTGATTCAGCTCTTCTCTTAGCTCTTTGTTGGTCTAGGAAAAAATAAAAAAATTCCAGTCAAAGGGAAAGACAGAGATGCGAAGAAATGCCACCAGTGGGAACCAAGATAGAAGTGTATTAAAGGTTATTTTTGCCTCTAAGCAACAAAGTTTGGTCATAAAGATTTATTATTTTATTGTTCTTAATAACACTAATGATAGAGCACGCTTATTAAATGCCTTTCATCATCATTTAATCCACTTAATACTTCTAGCAGATAAATACTGTTATTATCTCCAATTTTCAAGATGAGAAAATTGACATGGAGAGGTTAGGTAACTGTGGCAGAGCTGGATTTGGACGCAGATGCCTCTGACATCAGAGCCTGTGTTCTGCCATGGTCTGTCCTGCCGCCTGTAGTTTATGGGCTGGGCTGATCTCAGCTATAAAAACCCCAAGGTCAGTCTTTCCAAGCCCAGCACTGCAATCTGGCTTCAAAGAGGGGGGTCTGATGATGTTTGAGTCTTTGAGGACAGGCCCTGCAGGGGGCGGGGGCAGTGGGAAGAGAAGGAGAGAAGGAGGGGTAGTGGGGAGACCGCCACCACCACCATGGGAAAACCACAGACTCAGGAGCTGAGACTAAACCCATATGAAGTGTTTTTCAGACCCCAGCAGACCCTGCAAACCATTCCTTCTTTTCCTTTCACTGTGGGGGGAGGGGGAGTGAAGGAGGAGGAAACAAATGAGGAGGGATGGTTTACAAAGGGTTAACGAGACTAGGAGTCTGCATGGAATGAAAATAATTATTTGAAAAATTCCAAAAAGTACAAAAAAGGAAGTAAAAATTACACAAAATCCCTCCATTAAAAGAGATTATATATCATAAGATGTGAAAGCCACCTTGCCTGCCCCTCCAACTCCACCTGCAGAGGTAACCACTGCGAAGGATTTACTGTGTAAAGGCTCTCTAAGATGCCCATGAATTCATCATGTCCTCCCCCCGACGAGCTTCCCTTGGTGACTGTCTCATTTCTGCACCAGCAGGCTCCAAGGCACCTCAGAGTCTCTTTGATGCTTCCAGACTCAAATTCAAGTCCCGTGCTTTTAAAAAACTGCCTCTGGGATTTGCTCCTTTATGTTCTCACTGCCATCCTCCCCAGTCCAGGCTCTTGCTCTCACATCTGGTCTGTTGATTGGGTCCCCTCCGTGTTCTTCTCCCACCTCAAAGCATGTATGGGCACCAGATTCATCTGCCAAGAACACTGCTTCCAACACATCGTTTTCCTGTTCTAAAACCTTTGATGATTCCTCGTCATTTGGAGAATAATTTAGCTTGGCATTTCACGTCGGTCACAACCTACCCGCTCCATTCTTGTACCCACAAGTGCTTCCTGGCTCTGTGTTGCAGCCTGGCTGGCTGCTTCCCCAATCTT